CCTTAAGGGCAAGCACAATGACCGGCTGCTCCAAAGAGGGAGAGTCCCTGTGAGACACTGGAGCACCAGTCGTGGTGTAGGTTATGATTACATCCTATGGATGCCACCTGCAAGGCATGGGCTGCAGTGTAGAGGAGGTTCAGAGCTGCAGATAGCACCCCCTGGCATCGGGGCTGGGAAATGGGCAGCTTCCCACATTATACCACCAGTTTATGGGAACGGCAAAGTCATGACAGGCTAGATTGGGTGGACTTCCCTGTAAAGACAGGTGGGCGGGTCAGCATGAGACCCGGCCCCAAGCGTGCCCTCAGTCACAATCACTGACAAAACAAGGCTATTGTAGTCAAATATTGTCCAAGGCATTGAGGAAACATGTTCTGCTTTGAGAAGAAAAAAAAAACAAAAACAAAAACAAAACAAAAAAAAAAAAAATCACATTTTGGGGGTTAGCTCAATATGTTTTTCAGCCTCACAATGACACCTCTCCAGCAGGGTATTATTGTCTTATGACTTGGTATCATAATCCACTGGCACGATTCTCCAAATACTTACCGACTGACAATACAACACAACTTTTACATCAAAACACAAACTCTAACCCCCGAATGCTTGACAGTGTCAAAAACACTGCACATTCCTAACAATAATATTATTTAGCTATTCTGTAGCACTTTACAAACATTAATTAATCCCTACAGCAGCCTGAGGAGGTAGGGATAATTATTTCCATTGCAAGGGCCTCAGTTGTACATTCCAGTGTACATGACAGCACAGAGCCTCATGATTCTGGCCTTGTTTAGCTATTCAAAGTACATTTTATTAGAAGAAAAACATTTCTATAAGTTTTAACTGGTTACTGCAGAAGGCAAGAGGTGGAGTTAATTTGGCTCCCTAGTACTGCAGACTCATTTGCAGCATATTTGCTTCAGTTTCTGGACTTTGTGTATGAATCCTTTCCTATTTAGCTCATCAGTTTGCTGAGAAGTATAGTGTACCATGGCAGTGGTGGTGGAGTGAGGGCAACAGGGCATAGTTTCCAAGAACTTGACAAAATGTCTTTCATTGTGCCTCAAATATAAACAAAAAGCTCCTTAAGTCAGTGCAGCTCTCCTGTCAGTCAAGCCAGATCTGGAACAATTTGCTCACTGAGCATACTTTAACTGATCCATCCTTATTTCTTAAACTCCCAAATTCTAGTAGTCTCTTTGTTGGCTTGTAAGAAGTTGAGCAGTAGAGACTGCTCGGTGTATACACATGTCAATAATATAGTTGCAGAGGTGGTTAACCTGACAGACAGCAGTCCCATTTCCAATCACAAACACTCAAGTGGCTTCAGCTTCTTCTAATACATTAGGTGGAAAATTCTAACATGCTGACCGAGCTCTCACTCCTCACTGTGGAAACACAATGAACTCTATTTTCCCATCATGGAGGAGTTACACTTATACAATCCCTGCCCATTGAAAGAAAAATAGGATGTGTTAGCTAGGCCTACACGAAGCAGCTAGTGTTCACTTTGGATTCGGCCAGTTTGGGGGACAGTGATTTGATTTGGTGATTCGAATCACTGTCCTGAATCAATTCGGCTGAATCTCATTCAGAGATTCAGCCGCCACTGAATCGCCCGAATCTCCAAGTCAAACAAGCGCCATACCCTGCGTGCTCTTCCAGCCCCATCAATGGCTGTCCCACCCAGCCCTAGTGTCCCAGCACTTAAAAAAAAACAAAAGAAAAGCCCCACACTTATCAGCTCCTGCAGGGCAAGGGGGCAATCCCTGCTTCCCCCACAATGCCCTGCACGGCATGGGGGGAGCTCTGACATGAGCCCCAGATGGCTGCTGTAGCAGCCGGTGTGTACGGGACTTTTTTTTTTTTTTTTTTTAAGTGCTGGGATCCGGGAACCAGGGGGGGCAGCCATTGACAGGGCTGGGAGAGTGGGCGGAGGTCAGAGGGCATTCAGGAGGGCAGGGGATGGGGCCTGGCCAGAGTCCCCTCATGGTCTCCTTCTCCCTCCTCCAGCTCCTCCCCCCCACCCCATACTTACCAGCATGGAGTCTGGGTCCAGCTTGTTGTGGAGCCACAGCCATTTACTTCACTTCATGACTTAATTGTTTTTCATTATGGGCTTCTTCAGCTCCATGATGGTTCCTCCCAAGGGACATCCTAGCACCTACATAATCTATAGCTCTTCAGTTCTGAACAACACATTATGCCTGTGGGTGGGTGGGGGGGTGGGCTTACTTGCTGCTCTTCATCCCATTGGAATCATGGGGACCTCTACCTCATCTTCTTTCCCCTCTTTCCTGCCACATCTTTGATGTCAAGTTATTCTTCAGGAATATAGATAGTATCTCAGGTGATCGTACAGGCAAGGTCAGTCTTCCACAGGGCTCCACCCTGCACCTTTCCTCTTGGGTGATAAGTCATATCGTCTTGTTGGCACCAAGTGCATGTCACTAGTCCTTGGTGTTCCTTTCCAACCCAGCTTGGCTGTGGGCTTCGGAAATGGCTGATGGCCATATCTTCTGGATGGGTTGTTCCTCCTTGAGTGTTTTGTCCAGCTTGTGGTAACCTTCCTTTTCTCTGGGATTTGTGGATTCTGGGAAGATGGGATTTCTACCTTCCAGTCCCAGAGGTCATGTTCCAATGCCTCACTGGGTCTCCGGTGTTGACTCTCTAGCTTAATTAATCAGAACTCAAGTGTGCAGGAGGTCTGGCTTTCTCCTGCTATATTTCCCTAGTCTGAGATTACTGAATGGCATAACAAAAGAAAACTTAGCCTGTGCTGAACTCCAGCTTTATCGTCCATAAGGGCTCTGAGCTTGTGGGCTCTTTCATTTAGTTTCTCTGGGCAAATCCCTCCTTTTCCCGGGTTGCTGGGGCCCTCTGAGGCTCTCTGCCTCCAATATCCCCTCTTGCCCTCTTTCCTGAGGGTTTACCCTTTGTTCCCTGGAGTATTCTCTTCCTAGTGTCCCCAACTCCTCAGCTGCTGGGGCCACCCATTAGCACCCCACCATCCAGTTTCACTTAACTGAATAGTTGATTGGGTTGGCTCCTCCCTTGGGGTTGCAGTCTCTCTGGCATCCCTCAAGGTTTCAGCTGGCTGGGTCCTGGCTGTGGCAGAGCCCTCCTCCCAGTCTTGCTGCAGTGTCCCCTCCTCCTTCCACATTGAACACAGAGCCCTTCTTGGCATACTCCCTTTAAACTTCCTGGGCTTTTCCCTCAGCCAATCAGCATAGGCCCTTGGGGCACATGCTCCCTGGGTAGGTTTGCAGCCTCTGCTCCCTTCCTCAGAGCTCCTTTCAGTGCACTGGGGAAGCATCATTCATTCAGGACTCTGACCAGTGAGTCTGCCTCCCCTGATGTTTCCCTAGCAGTCTGAACTCTCTGGCCCTTGCTGGGCAGGTTCCCTCTCCCAGAGTTCCCTCAGAGCACTGGGGCAGCACTGCTCATGCAGTCTCTGCCGGAGAAGTCCCACAGCTCCCGGCAGCTTCCCTCACTGTGCCGGGTGATGTGGTATTCCCAGACTTGGCCAGGTAAGTTTCTTTTTCATGGTTCACAGCTGGTGGGTCAGGATGGCACCACCCATGCGAGCCCTGCCAGGAGTGATTTTCCCTGTCCTGGCCCCTCCTGTGGGGGTCTAGCAGGGCCCTCTTCTGAGCCCCTGCTACATTGCCCCTTGCAGATTCCTCACCTGACAAACTGATAACCACCAGCTGGGCTGTAGAACACATTGAATACAACAGTCAAAGATCAGCAGGAGTTTCCAGTAGCAGGGGATTCAGACAGGTAGAGCATTACTCCATGCTAGAAGCCATCAAAGCCCACCATCCTACCAAAACTTTAAATCCCAAGTTAGTATCCACACCTTAGCCCACAATGTGATAGAACCCCGCAAGTGGCCATTTCCCAGATGTTATTCACCTTGTAAATAACCAATATCATAATAGCTAATATATTACATGGTACACTCAGTGGTATCTATTTCATTTACATAAATACCTATTAGATTTTTACATGTGTTAATGATATCACAGCAGACAAAAATAATAGAAAATCTTCAAAACACAGTAGCCATCTTGCATAAAAAAAACACACAGAGTTCAGTTTCTCCTTCAACTCAGTTTGTCTAAAGAGGCCTGAATAAATGGATAGGCTTGTGAAGAAGAATGTGGCATGGGGAGTCATGAATACAAGAGATGAGGTCCCTGCACAGAGAATGTCCTCAGTTTCTTATTGGAAGTTCCTGTGTACACAGTGGATTGTTTCATCCAAAGGGCAGAAACAACCATATAAAGGTTAAATAAGAGCCTGCCCCAAGTCCAAGGAAGTTAAATTGATTTTTTCATTGACCTCAGTGGCCTTTGAATTAAGCTTTAAGTGTGGAAGTGTTAGGAACAGTAAAAAAAATGGATCCCTCCTGACATGTAATTACTGCATAAGTGAAGAAAGTATGTGGGTCATTTGCAATAGCAGACCAATATTTTTGGTCACAAGGGTGACACCTGAATAAGAGATCATTAACCACTCAGGCTAGGTACAGACATTCAAAAAGCGTAAGGCAGAACTGATCTAAGTTGCACAGTTTTCCATAAGCAGTGTAGTTTACATCTGTAGTGAAGAGAACATACATTCACCCTTTGGTAGGAGGGGCAAATCTTAGACGGTGTTCCTCCATTCTTAAACCAGTCTATGTATGCCGAACTTCTGTTCTGTTACCAATAAGACTTGTTTCCAATCACTTAGGCTGGTAAGAGTGTAATGTCTATACCTGGCCCCAGTGTGGACTAAGTGGTTAGTTTATATAACCACCTGCATACTACTAGAAATACTACAAAAAAGCTTGTTTGGTTTTCAAAATGTTAGCAACATAAGTAGTTTTTTTTGTCAGTTTTATTTAATACTGTGTAAAAAAAAAAAGTTGTATAATATAATCATTTAGTGTTTATTTTATTGTGTGTACCTTCTACTCAGAGGGTTGGCATTATTGTTCCTAACAGTGATGGATACAAGCAGATCATGCCCTATGACCTCTACCATCCCCTTCCTCGGTACGTAAAGCAATCAACCAGACAGTAGGATTAACAAATAAGTTTACTCCTTTTTTCTGCATTGCTGCTTTTCTGTAGAACTAAGGTGGTAGATGCTGCTTTTTCCTTGTTCTGAACTCTACTGCCAAATAATCATGAGTTGCTCACATGCTAATCTGATTGTTATAAAACCTATTAATGCTGAGCTAAAATTACATCAAAGTTGAAGCAGTAATGCAGTGTGATTAAGTTTACTGGATCTCTCTCTTGAGTGCTCTTGCTCTTGTGTGCTCTCTCTTTCTCTCTGTCTCTCTATCTACATATATATATACTTGTCTTCCTCCTTTCCTTTAACCTTCCCTGACTGGGACTGGCTTTGTAACTAACTGTTAAACTGCCTCCTCAGCAGTGGCAAATATATTCCACAATGTATTATAAGGCTACAGATGTAAAATCCCAGAAGCTTTCATTGCATGTTATGTATTAGTGTCTCTCTTAAACAAGTTATAGGATTTTTAAAAGAGGAAGGAAGTGGTGTTTTTTGTTGTTGTTGTTTTGTGTTGGGTTTTTTTGGGTGGGGTCAGTCTTTTTCTTTTTTTTAAATAAATAAATAGTGTGGAAAGATCCAGTCCTGCAAACACATACATGTGAAATGAGTAACTTTACTTAGCCATGCAATTTCCTTTGTTTTTTTGGGTATACTTACTCTCAGATACATTTGCAGAACCAGAAACTAAATAAGAAATTTGCAATGTACCCTGTTAATGGTATTACAATTAAAAATGCTGTTAAAGTATAAACAGCTGCTTTAAAAATCATAGAAAAGTTGCTCCATACTGGGCACATGAACCCATTATTGTAGCAAAGAAGGCTTGGGTGTGAACTCATAGCTTGTCAGCTGTCCCTCGGTGACTAAACACAGGCATGTTTCTATCCCACAGTAAATGTGCTATAACTTCTCTCTCCATGAAAATGAGCCTTGCACTCACTACTAGGGTAAGAATATATGGACAGACAGTTACTGTAGAGTAGCTAACATGTTGTGAGTTCACTCCCTAGCTTATCTCTTGATAACTTGTGTTATGGCCTTTGTGCCAGTAGAAGCTTGGAACCCAAAAAGTAGCAACAGAGGATCAGCACCACTAACAGTGCTGTCACAGATTAAACAGGCCCATCAATAAGTAGAATGTGCTCTTCCAGTTCAGTGTTGACATTCTACTGTTTCATTCCCTGCTCATGCCTTGTGCTGTTGGGCTTCCCATTTTTACTAAAGGCTCCTATTAGCCAATATGTTTATCTCACCTTGCTGAGAAAGTGACCTCTCCCAAACCTCAGTGAGGCCTTGCACAAATACCACAGATCTCTGCTGTACTCTGTGCACAACAACAGTTCATCCAGACTTGAATTATGGTATTGGGCTGCATAATGGCCATCCCAAACTGAGAATGAGAGAGCTAGGAGCAGAGCAACTTGGTCTTGCCTACAATTGTAGCCACCTCTCAGGTTGTCACCTCTTAGCTATGATATATGTAGTTTGTGTTCATATGCCAAACGCCTGCCTTACCTTGCAGTAGTCAAAGCCACATATTTTGCATGGATTAAAGACCTTTGTTGGCAGTATATATCTGTCATTTATCTCATTAGGCTTATTTATCACCTTAGACATAAAATAGATCTCCACCTCCTGTTTTCAGAAAATTCTTTTCTTTGTCCTTTGAAACAGAATTCCCAAACATACCCTCTCAAAAACTCAAAAATTAACAAAATAAATGGGTGAAAAGGAGAGCCTGTTAATAAAAGACAGGTATCTTAGCTTAGAAAGGATTTCATTTTAACTGTGAACAAAGTTCATGAGCATCAACAGAGAAAGGAAGGGAGAGAGAAAGGGAGCGAGGGAGAGACTTTATAGATCACAGGATGAATCAGCAGCACTCAACAGTGGAAGGACTGTCTTTGAGCAAAAAGCATCCTGCACTGGCAACTTGACAGAGGCTTTTCAACAGTTGAAGAACATCCAAAATAAAGGATCAAAATGCCCTGATGTATTTGGCTTTCAGCAACACAGAAACTAAGAAAAATATCATTCCATGGGAATGATCAAAGGCACAAGACTGGTCCTCAAGCTTTTCTGGGTTTTGCTTTCACCCTGTAACAATCCTTTTAGATCCACTCCCCCAATCCCCGCATTCATCTGTAGACACTCTTATCAGGAACCCAACTGTTGAATGGTACCATCAACCACTTAAAAATCCCAAGGTTGCAGGGGAGTCTGTGCATGGATCTCATCTGCTTGCATAAGAAAGTGTGGATCAGAGACCTCCTCAGCACCATCTCTCCTCCCTCTTCAGACCTTACTGGTCCAGAGCCCATGCAATGAGTTGAGTCTGACTGGATCAGTGGAAGGACTGGGCTGATATGAGGATGGGCTAGGATCAGGGAGATACAAATTGTCTTCCTGCCTTCTGACCTGCTGAGCCTAAGCAGAAAAAGTAATACACCTTCAAGCCATAGCAGAATGGGTAGCAAGCCCCTAATGGATCTGGAAGTTTGGGAGTGAGTTGGGAAGAATTTTGGGATGGGCCACCTGTAGACATTTCTCTGTCTAGACACTTCTGCCATGAGTTTTATCATGAAGATAGGAATATGTCCTTCATTAAATGTAATACTTGCATACACTTTTGTGATGCTTAATTCCAGCTTCTGCAACATTTCTGTCACAAGTTGGTGATAGCAGTTGCATACTGAGTACATCACAAGTAACCACGACCCCTGCTTTAAAAGCCATGAGTCACAAACTCCTTCAGCCATTTTAGATTGGTGTAGCCTGTGGGCTAAATTTTGGGCCCTTATTTCATACCCCAGCCCAAGCAGCTGCCTCCAAGGCAGCACAAAGCATCTGGAAAGTGGCCTTTAAAAGCAGCTGAAGACTCCCCTAAAAGGTCCTGAGATTTCAGACCCTCCCATTGTCATGTATGGAAAAGCTATATGAAGTTCTTGTTAGAGTTTTAAATATTTATGAGTTCCAATTTGCAGCCTATGCTGTCAGACCTCAAGTACCTAAGGGTCCTGAGTACACAATGCAGCATTATTGGGAAAAGTCTCCAGTAAAATAAAACAGGTACAGTTCTAACCCTATATCTGAGGGATATGTGTGTTGCCCTGTGGGGTCAGGCCAACTCTCAGGATCTCAATATTGCGTTGTTAGACAGGAGGGCGTGATGTACAACTGCACAGGCACACACACAAAAAGCAATTAGGTGCATACACACACACTAGGCGCATATACACACTCTAGGTGCATACACCCCCACCTGGCATGCACACTACCAATTCAGGCACATACACATCCAAAATTACCAGCTTAGGCAAATGCATACCTATCACCAATTCAAGCACCTACACAAACCAAAAGAAATTAGACCAGAATCAATTACCAATACCTGCACACCCAATACACATATCACTAATTTGTATATCATGCACACTGTGGCATACATGTGTATCAGTTCACATACATACCACTCACCTACAGATACACACAGGTGAGTTCCTAACTTGGGTGTTGTGGTGTGTATGTATGTGCTTGGTGTACTTGGAAGAAGGTTAAGGTAAGAGAGAGAGAGTGAAAGTCACTGGGACCGGGATTAGAACCAGTAGACTAGAAAGAGAGCTGTGCTGAGGCTTGGGGTTATTTTAGGTGGAGACTGAGATGAAAGTTGCCGGTGCTGGGATAAGAACCAGGAGACTGGAGGGAAGGTGGGGTAACTTAAGGTTAATTGATGTTAATTGAAAGCAGAAAGCCAACAGGAGAAGTCCAGAGGCTGGAGCAA